CAAACCGCTTAGTCGGCAAAAATTCTTGTTGGCGTGGGCGGCGGCAGCCCCAGCCCCTGCCTCGGAAAGCAACGTAAACAGCTCAACAGCTGCAGGACAACAGAAAGACCGGAGGAGGACATAAGGAGGACAACAGAGGACAAAAAGATGAGGGAAGGAAAACAAGCACACCGACTCCAAGAGGCCAAAAGAAGGACAAACTGTGACCAGACAACGCCAAAAGGACAACAGGACAAGATGAGGGGAGCACGCCAACAAGAGAACAAGAGTAGAAGAGGAAGAGAGGACAAGAGAAAGACAAGACGATGCTGGGAGGAGTACGACCGAGGTAGGCTGGCAGCCGCGGTCAAAGAAGACCCGAAGAATGACGACAGCAGGACAACTGCAAGCACCAGGAAGACAGGGAAGGACAAGAGGAGGACAAGAGGAGGACACAGGGTTGGCCAGTGCGGCCAGAGGCCAACAGCAAGCACCAGGAGGACAAGAGGAGGACAAGAGGAGGGTTCAGAAACGCCGTTTGGGCCCTAAGAACAAAAAACAATCCCCGTGTTTTTCTCCATCGTTTTTGCCTATCAACTCTGTATGTGTTCCCATTGACTCGTTTGCACTTGCCGGCGATCATTCCCAGAACGTTGCGAAGTCGCGTGCCGATGTTGAATCAGAGCCTACGTTGTTGCAATGGCATGGGCAGTGTTTCCAGCAAAGGCCAGGCCGTCGTGATGACATTCTTTTTTTGCTGTCAGGCTCAGAGCCCGAGCGGAGGTGCGCTTGGGTGAGATTGCAAGAAACTTTTGTGCCGACCTGGTCAGCAAGCGAAGCCCCGATTTGATTCGACGATCAAAGTCTTGTCTCTCTCTCTCTCTCTTTTTTCCTCTCTCCTCGCGCACGCATGGAAAAGGTGTGGGAGAAACTTCCAAGATCTTAGATATCCTAGGTCCTGAGTTGTTTTTGTCTAAGGATGCTGGTCCATGTTCCAAACCTTTTCGACGGATCCGCGCCTTCATCGGCTCCTGCGGGTTTCCCTGTTTGAAACGTCCCCTTGTCCCGACGGTTCCAATCGACGCGATAGAACCCCTTGCCCTAATCGAGCCGAGCCAAAGCGGCGCAACAAAACCGGGGTCCGACCAGCTTTGCCCCAGCTGAAGGTTTTTTGGTTTTTGCGAGAAGACCCAGGACGAGGTCAACAAGTGACATCCACCGGTGGAGGGTCAAACAGAAAGATGAAGAAAACTCCATTCTGGCAGAAGGATGGGACTCAAAAAGGGAGGATGGGCAAAGATTCCTTGGAGAAGGAGTTGACAGACCATGAGTAGAAGTTCCAGTCGTAGCTTAGCCTTCTAAGATTCAAGAGGCTACTTCTTTGGTGACATCATGGAAACAGGAACTAGGTGACATGAATCTTCCCAGGCTTCGTTCGTGATATGTTCGATGATATTTGCATGTTTGGATGGGGTTATCTTTGAATTACATGGACTGTGGTCTGTCTTGTGAAGGAGGTCGCAAACCGCCCGGCAGGGTCGAAGGCTTCTGTCGCAAAGCAGGCGAGCTGGAATGAGGGCGGATTTGGTGCGGGAGGCAAAGTGCTTGGGGGATTTGTGGGTCATTGTGCCACATAAACCGAAATAGGTGTAATTTTCTTGGATTGGTGGCTCAAGACACTTGCTTCAGCCGTGGAGTGCGAGTGCTGGCACCAGGGAAAGCCGCAGAACCGACCCATTGGACGCGGCGCACCCGGACCTGGACCGCTCGGAGTCGACCAGGTCACCAGGTCTTGTGGCTTCGTTCCGGGCGTCGTTTGGGGAAGCGACGTGGCCGATGGCGCCCCACTCGGCCCGGGACAAGAACCGGTGTGCCGGCCAGGTGGCCCGAGACGAGCGGCATTCATGAGCCGGTCTGGGATAAGCAGATCATGTCGCCCGGTTTTTTGGGCGGGCTTTGATGGCAAACGGCGGTTTTGGGGAGGGATTCGATCCAAACGAGCTACTTCTACACGGACAAGGATTGATCAAAATTGGATCAAAATTATACTGTCCAGCTGCCAGCTGTGCTTGTGATGATTCTATTCTTCTGTGCTTGGAGTGATGTGTGCGTCCATGTTCCCTTTTTTTTTCCGAGGTATATTCACACATGTAATCCAACGAAGTTTAGAAGAAACACATCCGAGTGATCAACGATGAAAGATCTTGTTGCTTGTTCGGCATTTCAATTAGCTAGCTGCTAGCTCATCAAGTCATGAGCGACCCTTCCCCAATGCGCAAGTCATGAGGCTTTTGGGCAAGGGGGCTAAATTCTATTATTTATTGTTTCTACTAGCTTCTTGTTACTAGTAGTACGGCCAGGAGCCCCTAGTAGCGTTCTTGCTCCTAGTAGCGATGCCCTTTGCTCCGTTCGTAGCGTCCTCTACACCGGTGTTTGGTGGCCGATGGTCCGGGGTGGCTCGACGTCGGTCGCAGTCACCTTGGTCCCCCCCCAAATACACTGTATTGGCTAGAGAAGAAGCAATTATATAAGAAGAGTTTCTAGAGAGAGCTCCTAAGAAAAGAGCTAGAACAGCAGAGGTTTCAATTCAAAAGTGGATAGAGAGAGATCCAAGCAAAAAAGTAGAAAGGCAGATGTCTGCAAACAGTCTCTAGAAGCAGAGGTAAGTTCGGATAAAGCTTGGGAGAGATAAAGACTTACAGACTTAGATGCATGAGATGTTCAAAGAATAACTTCTGGTGGAGATCCTTCGAGGACACATTTAACGCTGAGATTTCGATTTCGACATGTATTGAAAAGGAGGTGTGCGTAGTTGTCATAGAAAACCAGGAGAAAAGGTGCCGATTTCACAAATGTCGAGAAAAGACCATTTGAACATGTAGAGGTAGACCATTTCCTTTTGGAGGTAGACTATTTGTCCTCCGTCGTTGCATGGGGAACCCATTTTCCAACGTCTTTGTGGGCCTCCATTGGCTTCCTATCGATCATTTGGAGTCAAACCTAGATGTACTTTTTGACCTTTGACTTTGGCCTCTGCTTGCATTCCAACGAGTTTCCCTGCTTTCCAAGAACCATTTCCTTGCTTGGCTGCTTTCCTGATGGGGCATAGTTGCATTTCCACGGACATGCCATCAGCAACATTACATTTCATTTTGTTTCATCAGAGCATCACATCCTCATCGTCGTCGTCGTAATCATCACATTGCACCTGCCACAGCCGCCACAGCAGAAATCACATCACCTCATATCACCCCAGAACTTACTTCCATCTCCTCCGGATCTATATATATATATACTCCTAGAAGCTTTGTAGATCCACAGTTAGATGTTGTCACTCGTCGCAAAACGTGTTTGACGAAGGGCTCTGAGGCGACGTCACATCGCTCAAACGACCGACACACAGTGGGGACGGTCAAGTCATGTAGGATGCAACACATTGTAGACTATTCCGGAAGGGTGGTTTTTATTCATCAACAGTCGACATGACGACTTGCCTATCCTGGCATGGTTGCCTCGGCCACCGATACTCATAGGTGGACATGCCAAGCTGCCATGTGTGAGTCTTGAGCACCATGTGTGGGCTGAACAGCAAACCAATTTCAACATGTGTAAGAACCTTTCTTGCTTTTCACCGTGGGAAGGCACAAAAAGCTTCCTCGACATAGATTAAGACACTGTGGGTTGCGGATCTTGCCCAGGCAGTTTCCTCTCATGTGTCTTGGGTGCATATAGCTTGGAGAAGGTGGGCTGTGATTGTGTGAGAGTACCGTAAGAGCATGAACTTGTTGGGATCAAATCTCCAGGCCAATCTATATTTATGTTGATTCGCATTCGGCATGAGCACCAGCCCACTTGCCGGCCGTCGAGGGAACACCTTTAGGCACGAGTTCCGCAGGATGGAAAATAGGTGCGCCCACATGTGGTGGTAGGATCCACTTCGAGGTTTTTGAGATTGGTAGCGGAGCCCTGAATAGCAGGGCTCCGGGTAGATAGGACTCTACTCCGGATCATTCGGCATGAGCGCGGCTGCTAGTACTTCAGATTCCACTGGTCTTCGATCGTTCAGTGGAGATTCAGAAGATGCAAAAGAATACAAGCGATGGAAGGTGTGGGTGAGCAACAAATTGCTCACCATTGCTGACAAGGTTCCTGAACATGCCCGTGGCGCCTACGTGTACACCCTTTTGTCTGGCAAAGCATTGGAGTGTGTAGAGCACCTTGACCCCAGCAGTTATCAGAAGAAGGATGGCGAGAAGATCATCTTCGAACGCCTGGACCAGTGTTTTCCTCAGAAAGACGCTTCCGACGAGATGTCGGAAGTTTTGACGGAAGTGTTTGCCGTCAAATCCCATGAGGGAGAATCGCTGAAGGCCTGGATTTCTCGAGCAACTGAACTGTTCGATCGATGTCAACGCAAGGTCAACGTCAACTTTCCTGAGGAAGCTCGCGGTTGGATGATCCTACATCGATCTGGCTTGAGCGATGAGCAAAAGGCAGTTGTCCTCGCTCGATCGTTGGGGGTGTTGAAGAGGGAAGAGATCGGTCGTGCCATGCGCTCTTGTTACCCCGACTTCGTTGTTGGTAAGAGACGCGCTGCAGGTATTTCTCTGGTCGAGGATTCCCTACCTCCTGAGGACGACATCGCTGCTGATGAAGAGTTCGACGAACTTGAACAGTTCTTAGCAGAGCATCAGGTCACCTCCGAGGAGCCTGATGAGTTGTTCGATGAACCTGATGTCGCCGAGGCCCTAGCTGTGTCTTGGAAGGAGAGGAGAAAAGAGATGGGTCAACTCCAGCGTGCCCGCCGCTTCAAGCAAGCTCAAGATGTTCGTCGCTCCTTCAAAGTCGAGATTGAGGAGTTGAAGCGTCGCACCAAATGCAACAAGTGCGGTGCTGTCGGACATTGGGCTCGTGAGTGCAAGTCAGGCAAGGGCGCTTGGAACAAGTCAGCATCCTCAAAAGGGTCGTCCAAGGGCAAGGAATCAGCTGCAGCCATGGTAGTTGAAGAACACTTCATCGCCATGATCGACATCCTGCCATCCTCTTGGCGATCCTTGCAGTGGTTGAGAGAGAAGCAACAGAAATGTTCACCTACTGCTGAAGAGCAGCTGCTTGTGAGTTCACCTGGGTTCGGAGTATTGGACTCCGGATGTGGCCGCTCCATCATTGGTTGGGATACATTGCAAGAGTTCAAAGACTTGTGGAAAGCCCGCCAGATGGAGATCCCCGAGCCTTTTTCTGAGGTGAACCACTTCAAGTATGGTAACGGCCACAAAGAGATGTCCAAACAGGCCATTCGTGTCCCCGTTCATCTCGGTGGCAGGGTAGGAACCATCAAGGCAGCAATCGTGCAGGGCCAAGCGCCCCTGTTGATCTCTCGCAGTGCACTCAAAACCCTGAAAGCCACCCTCAACTTCGAGACGAATGAACTGACTGTTTTCGATGATCGTGTAGTCATTCCTTTGGCCACCAATCAAGCTGGCCAATACACTGTTGATTTGCTTGGCAATCCTGAAGGCCCCAACAGTGCCTTCGAAGAAATCATGATGACCACCGCCATTGATCAGGTCAGTGCACCAACCCTCGACGTGTCGGGTAGTGATCCGCCGGCCATGTCGTCCATCGAGCCCAACAACGAGAAGCTGATGGCTCCAGATGCAGGTCCTCCGAATTCCGAAACAGCATCGTGGAGTAGGGTAGATATGTATGCCACTCATGTTCCTTCGCTAGGTAAACAGGGTCCCAGATGGACGACAGTCAAACATAGAATTGTGACCGACCTTGATTCTCATGAGGTGCTTTTCGACGAGCCAATTGATCCCAGTAAAGGTAAGGCCAAGTATCGTCATGCACTCCCTCCACATGTACTCCGATGTCAAACCGAATTTCTGTACACGCCACAGGAAGAGTGTCTGGTCTTGGAGAGCCTGCCCAAGCATCATCTCCGGCAGTTGGAGGCCATTGTTCGGGAGACGCTTGCCGTACAGCCTCATGACAAGTCCCAGCAGTCTCATGATCATGGTAAGACACTTCTAGTTGCCGAAGTCTTTTCACCGCCTCGATTTAGCCCGGTGGTCGAACAAATGGGCTTCGCGAGTCGTTCATACGATTTGCTCAACGGGTATGATTTTCGACGTGCCGCCGACAGGTCAGCTGTGAAGCAAGAACTGAGTGAGAGACCCCCCAAATTGCTTGTTCTCTGTCCGCCTTGCACGGACGAAGGCGGTTGGTTCAACCTGAACAGCATGTACATGACACCAGCCGAACGTGCAAGACGCATAGCTCAGAGTCGCATGTACATCCGCTTTTGCTGCCAACTGTTTGAGCAACAGGTGAAGTTAGGTGGTAGAGTGCTTTTGGAACACCCTCAGGGTTCAAAACTGTGGACATACCCAGAAGTGCAGGCTTTGAGTCAAGAACACCACCTGATTCTTTGTCACATGTGTAGGTATGGTCTCAGATTACCTGGTTCTGACAAGCTTCTCAAAAAGGGTACCCACCTGTTGGTCAGTCACGAGGACATGAAGATTTTGGCCAAAGAATGTCCGGGTCAGCAACATCCTAAGCATGCATGTCATCAGCACATTGCCGGATCTGTTCCTGGTGTGGGTCAAGTAAGTACATTTGCTGGACAATACACTCATCAGTTTGTAGATGCTGTGTTGTCAACCATCCCAATGTTCAGGAAGCAGGAGGCAGCAAGCTGTGCAGCGTGTCCATCATGCCCAGAGCAGAAATGTCAAGAGGTTTTGATGGCCAAAGCCGATCTAGGTAGCGATGTTCCCGATGACCAAATTAAGAAGGTCCTCGATCGGTTGCACAGGAACCTTGGTCATCCACCCGTGCACGACTTGATTCGCCTGCTGAAACATGCTCAGGCCAGCCAGAAGGCAATTGACCTTGCTCGCAAATTCGACTGTGATCTGTGCAAGAGTCAGATCCGCCCACATGTGCCATTGCCAGCCAAGACCAATAGAGTGTCGGGTTTTAACCAGGTCGTCGGTCTCGATGTCAAGAATCTTCCAGGTTGGACCTCTAATCAGAAAATCAAGGCACTGAATATTGTTTGCCATGGTAGTTGCTATCAACTGATGATTCCATTCTTCCAAGCTGAGACCTCAGAACTTCTTCGAAGATTGTTCACCGATCATTGGATTCGCATTTTCGGTCCTCCGAAGGTAGTGGTTCTTGATCAGGCCAGAACTAACATGGGAGAGGCACTCCAAAACCATCTCGATTTGCAAGGCACCGAAGTGCGACAGATCGCGGGCGAAGCACACTGGCAACTAGGTAGAACAGAGGTTCATGGAGGTTGGTTCGCCCGCATTCTCACCAAGATCATTGCTGAACACACGCCTGAAACTCAAAAGGCTTGGGAAGAGTGTGTTACACATGCACATGTCAAGAACCAGATGATTCAGAACTATGGTTACACTCCACATCAACACGTGTTCGGTCAGAATCCCCGCATTCCTTCCGACTTGTTGGACGAACCACTTCATGTAGTGCCAGCCACTGCAAGCCTTGATGAAGCCAGTCTGGCACAATCACAGGCCATTCGACTGTCTGCCCGCAAAGCGGTCATCGAAATGCAGGATAGTATGTCGCTTCGTAGAGCCTTGGCGGCCCGGCCACGCCTGCACCAAGTCTTTGAGCCAGGATCCATGGTTGCGTACTGGAGACATCAGAAGTTCCAACAAGGTCAAGGGGTAGTTTTGGGAGGAAAGTGGTATGGTACCGCCATAGTTATCGGTCGAGTTGGTCGAAACTATGTGATCGCTCATCGCAAGCATATCTTTCGCTGTGCACCTGAACAACTGCGTCCAGCCACGTCAGAGGAGAGTATCTTGGTCAAGACGTCCCAATCTGAGCTGTTAGGAATCAAAGATCTCATCCAAGGGGGTACTTTCAGAAGTCAGAACTTTGTTGACTTGGTTCCTGGACATTATCCACCTGAAGTACAGACTGATCAAATAGGCGATGTTCCAATGGCCAGTAATTCGCCTGTAGTGCCTGAGCCCGTTGATCAGCCTGGTAAGGAGTCTGACCAATTGACTCCTCATCCCCCAAGTACTGACGAGGGAGCTCCAAGTCCTCCAGAAGACCCTCCTGAAAACCCTCTGATAGGTGAGAAGACCGATGAAGAAAAGCTCATTGAAGAGAACTCAACATCTGGATCCGACTTGAAGACTGCCTCGAGTTATGGCCCCGTTCGCTCTCGATCGCGAGTGACCATGAAAAGTGGACCAGCGGCACTCTTTCGACCAAGACCTATGCTGCAAGATGACTTTGTGGATCTCATGACTGAAGTTGTCCCCAGACTCATCACTGAGCATATCGATAAATCATCAGCCGTGAATTGGGAACCAGATCCTGACAGCTTGCAAGACGTGTCCAGTGGTCCCAGCAGCGGTAGTGGTCTTAAGAGGTCTGCCGATTCACAAGTGGCAACTGAAGAGCCAGCAGCTGTGCGTCCCAAGACTGATGACACACAAGAGTCGCTAACCTCCCAGTGGTCACATGAAATCATGTCAGTGCAAGAATGTCAACAACTGATGCAAGTTTGGGATCAGACCCAAGACGTTGAAATCTTGATCGCAGCATATCTTCAGAAAAAGACATCTAAAGAAGTGCCTGCTGTGGGAAATGAACCTCTTGTGCAGCAAATGGTGGACGAATCCAAGCTGGTAGAATGGTCCACGTTGATAGAAAAAGGGGCTATTTGGGTTCATACAGGTAAGAAGGCAGCATATCTAAGAAGCAAATATCCAGAACGGTTCATGGGTAGCAGGTTTGTCATTGTGAGAAAACCATTAGAAGAAAACCTGCATCTCGACATTCAGGATCCCTCCACGTTTCGCATCAAAAGCAGGTGGTGCTTGCAAGGTCACTTAGACCCAGATCTCGACCAAAAATTGGATGAGGGACTCCTGCAGAGCCCCACACCCAGTCAAATTGGACCTATGATACTAATGCAAGTCATATGTTCACATGGTTGGGATTTGCAGTTAGGCGATATAAGAGGCGCCTTCCTAGAGGCCGGTCCACTCCCAGAGAGATTTCGGCCACTGTTTGCAAAGCAGCCTCAAGGGGGCATCCCTGGAGTCGAGGCAGACGCCGTCTTGGAGGTGGTTGGAAATGTCTACGGACAGAACGACGCTCCGTCCGCATGGCACAGGGCTTTCGATCAAGCCGCCACCAGCATTGGTTGGGAAAAGTCCACTTTCGACTCCTGTCTCTATTTTCTTCGTGATCACCATGGTTTAACCGGTATCATGGGTGTTCACGTTGACGATACAGCAATAGGTGGAACTGGACCCCTTTTCGAAAAGGCAGTGCATCAACTCAAGGAACGATTCCCATACCGGAAATGGCGGGTTCAGTCGGGAGAGTTTTGTGGAGCCTTTTACACACAAGACCCTAGGACCAAAAGCATATCAATGTCGCAACAGACTTTTGCTGAAGGGATTAGACCGGCCCACATTCCGAAGGGAGCAAACAATGACCAACCCTTGAACGAGCAACAGACCAGGGTTCTTCGGGCGATAAATGGAAGCCTCAACTGGATTTCTACTCAATCACGACCTGATGCTTCGGTTCAGACCAGTCTTAGCCAACAATGCTTCCCTAGGCCGACCATCAAGAATCTGAGAGAAGCAAATAATGCTGTTCGTAGAATCAAGCAACATAAAGATTTGAAGATCCACTTCCATCCGATTGACCCAGCACGACTCCGAATCTGTTGTCATTCTGATGCAGCGTTTGCGAATGTTGGAACTCACACTCAGGCGGGGTACATCCTGTCCTTTGTAGATAAAGACCTGAATGAAGGAAAGATTTCTCATTGGACTCCGATTGTTTGGCGCAGTTACAAGCTGCCAAGAGCTGTGAGCTCCACACTCGCTGGAGAGAGTCAAGCTCTGTCCACCGCGTCAGGCACGGTTGAATGGATGAGTCTAATTTTGAGCGAAGCCCTGGATGGCAGTTTTGAGCCAAGGCAATTCCTGGAAAGACTTCAAGCTCGATCACCGATTCTCACAACAGATTGCAAATCGTTGTATGACCACTTGATTTCACCCTCATCACCGACTGCAGTAGAAGATCGAAGAACCAGCATCGACATTGTTATCATCAGAGAATCCATTCGTAGACTCAAAGCCTCCATGAGATGGCTTCCCACGAATCGCATGCTCGCCGACGCCCTCACTAAGGATAAACTAGATCCTGTAGATCTCCTAAGAGCTTGCATGAGAAGTGGAACATACCAAATCTCACCTGAGGAACATGTTTTGGCTCAACAAGCTGCTGAGAGGGAACTTCGGATGCAGAGACGTCAACTGACATCCAATCAGTCCCCTGGCAAAAATGCAGAGCCAACGGGTGATCCCATAATTCACTCAGAACCATAAGATAGATCAGCTATGCTTGAGAGACTTTAACATCTTGAATAGTGAAAGATAAGATAGTCATATTCGGGAGAGTATCTTGTGGGAGCACTATATGGTGCGAGTCTTCAGTGCATATGTTGTTTTTGCAAAATGTTGGTCAAGCAGTGCCGTGCATGTTTTTCAATCGTTAATGCCTCCGCAGCCTTTTGAAGTGAGCGCGAATCGTTTTCGAGTCAGCCGACCAAGTTCTAAAATGGCTTGGACCTCCGATGATGCCGCCAAGCTGCAAGAGCTGCTCCAGAAAGCAGCTGCCAACGGTGTGCATCCTCTTGCTGCTCTTGAGAAGACCGGCCGTCACTTTCAGGACGATGGTTTTGAATTGGTGACCACTGGTGGCATGTCAGACGCCACCAAGCGGCTGGGAGATGACCAATTGCCTGTGGCAAAGAAGCCAAACCAAAAGAGCTCGACCATGCCGCTGCAGACCGACGGCTCGATGGGATACTATGTTAAGGAAATGATGCCTGTGCCACTCCCCAGCTCATCGCTGGATCCGGCTCCGACCTACCTGCCAGCTGGAGTGAAGAGTTTGACACAGTGGAGCCAGTCGGTCATTGGTTTTGGCAAGTTCAAAGGCAAAGGAATGAGCTATGCTGACTTGATCAATGCTGGCACGGAAGAGACCAAGGGATACATCAAATGGTGCAAGTCCCGGCAGTCCAGTGCTGGTGGTGAGTTGGCTGACTTGGCCAATTTTCTAGTTCAGCATGAAGCCGAGCAGTGCAAGTCGGATAGCTCACTCGGTGAGGTCATCGCTGGCACCAGCACGCGAAGGGTCTTCAAGTCGTGAATCACGATTGGATCCTCGATAGGCGGCCTAGATTTGAGCACTGCATGAAAGATGCTTCGTCGATTTTCTAAAGAAGATTATAAGCAGTGTTGATTCGCATTCGGCATGAGCACCAGCCCACTTGCCGGCCGTCGAGGGAACACCTTTAGGCACGAGTTCCGCAGGATGGAAAATAGGTGCGCCCACATGTGGTGGTAGGATCCACTTCGAGGTTTTTTGAGATTTATATAGCAAGACGAGGTGCATGGGTCTTCATGTGCCTTGGAAGTCTGCCCACCGGTGTCCCCAAACTTCTGTTCGCTTGCAGGGTGGAATTCTCTTGGATTTAGTGCAGCGTGTGGGAGGAAAGTTAGCACATCGACCTCAGAAAGTTGCACCATGTAACATTTTGGGTGTATATGTAACATCGGGAGGCCTCTCAGTTCGACCCATCTTCAAGTTCGACCCAATGGGTTTGGTGGTTGGGGTCTCCCTATTTCAAGTTGTTTGTTCTCTGAGGAATATGTTCGAGACCTATTTCGTCCTCCGAGAGGCCCGGTGGACCTCAAATCACCTCCGGGTGACCTCGTCGACATCGACGGAGATCACTGGTCGACGGAGTCGGACCATTCTTTTTGATCGTCGACTGGAGGACTCTTTCCAGGGGTCGTCGACTGGATTGGGAGGTTTTTTCCGAATTTTCCACGTCTTGCGCGGGGGACTCTGGACCACTCTTAGGCTTGCAAAGTCTAGGCCAGTTGTGATCTGCAGACATAGCGACGGAACCATACCGAACCATTTCCAGCTTGGACAGATTTGAGCATTGAACGTCGCTTCGAGGATGTCGTCACCTCACTTTGCTTCCTCTGTAGCACGCAGTTTCGGCTCAATATCTGCTGCCTTTTCCGGTGCTGCTCGCTGAATGATGAAGAGCCGCTTGGATCACAAACTAGCTCGTTTGAAACAACACAAAAGCTTATTGAAGTGCTTCTTGATTGAGACGATTGCAGCATGGTTTTCCACCTTTCAAGTGATCTTTCTTTCGACTGTCGATCCCATCGTTTGATGTTCATCTGATTCGACTCGTCGTAGAACGATCCTTTTGGAGCCTGGGCGCCTTTTCGGCACCGGAACCTGGGACGGACGTTCGAGACCTCGGGACCTTCGTCCCAGGCGGTGTGATCGTCGTACTCTCGGCCCGGGCTCCGCAGCGCGCAGCGCGCAGCGCGGAGGGGTGGGTGAAGGGCGCCCTTGTGGAGGTGATGATTTGGAGTTCCGCCCCAGACGGTAGGAAGGTTTTTGGAGCTCTTTCCTTGGGTTTACGAAGGCGGAGATCGATGCTATGAAAGCCTCATCCAAAGATGCACTTTGATAACAAAGCTTCATCAGAGGATTGCACCATCGGGAGGAATCCTGAATCCAAACCCCGCCAAGGAGGCCTACAATAGATTGACCGGGCATTTTGGGGTGAAAGACATCATGATCTGTAAGATTCAACACGAATCCACATGGCTTGGATATGATGGACACGCAGACGCAAAAGAACTCTTATGTACCCGTCTCTTTATATCGACACTCGACACATATTACCTTATATGCTTCCAATCCGACATAGTCTTTCGATGGAGAATAGGCAAGCTATGTGTAAGTACTCGTGCCCAGACTAAGACTGAGGTCCCAGAGTCGTCAGAGGTCTCCAAATCAGAGGTCTCGAGACATTTTTTAATATTTTCACATCGAGAACCTCGGGTCTAGATTCTAGATGGATGTCTCAAATTTGGGTCTTCTTTCCGTCTCAAAAGAATGGTTTTCTTCAGTGGAGGTCCGGCCGCCCTCGGGATCAGGCCTTGGCCGTGGCCAATGGAAGCCCCGAAGAACTCCAGGCGCGAGACCAGCGATGCGCCACACACAGCGGCGTGGCTCTTCCAGCCCAGGTTCAGTGAAGTTTGAACGAAGAACGAAGATGAATTGAACGAAAAAAGCCACGCTTTTTAAACCTCTTTTTCTGCCTTGAACAATTGAACCAGCACGGCCCCCGCCTCGACGGAGTGAACGTGGCGCGCGCGCGTGCGCGGGTGTGTGTGTGTATGTTTGTGTAATCCTTGGAGTCACAGGGATTCAATCGAATTTGTTTCTCCATTCATCTTTTGAGAGGGATCTCCAGTTGTAGCCTCTGCCAGCGAAGCTCTACACTGGACGATCAGGTAAGCATACCTGCTGTGGTGCACTTGGGCGCATAATAAGACGCAGCTGGTGGCCACCCTTCAAATTCAGTTTTAATTCTGCAGACTTGCACGATTCGTCGTCACCTCGTCGCGCTTCCGCAGTTCGAGCTCGTGGGCTTTGAAGGTTTCTTGGAGGCTTCATCGAGTTACCAACTAACCTGAACCCTTAGGCGGTCATACCTAGGTGGGCGTGTCGCCTGAGGCTTTCGGATCAGTACGCATTTCTATAAGTGTGTCTGGCGCCATGCCAGCCCAGGGTGAGCCCGAGGAGTGCCCCCTGTGGAGCCGTGGAACAGGTTTTTTTCCATGTTCCCCAGCTTGGAACGTAGGTGTCCGAAGCAGACAGCAGGAGGCTTGTGCCAGAGTTGTTTGCCAAGACCTGATGAATTACTGAAACCAAGTAGGCAGCTATCCAGCAGCCATTAGGTGACTGCTGGTCTTTCTAATGAGGGTTGGTTTCATTTGTTCCTGTCCCCTCCATTTGGTTCCCCTTTTCATCCTTTCCCCTCACACACACACACACACATCTTCTTTCCTGTTTTCTTTCATGTCTTCCTGCCTTCGTGGCTTGGCATCTCATCCCTTCTTTCTTTTGCCCGCACATTGGTCCACCCCTTAGTTTGTACGTGCACATTTACATCTACTTCAAGCCCAGGTTTCAGGTCGCCCAGGTTTGACAATGAGGTGAGGTTCGTTGTTTGTCCCTGTGCAGTTGGTTCCTCTTCATCGCAACCACGTACACTTTTGTCCTGTCTCGTCCTCTTTTCATGTCTTCATCTTTTTGTCCTTGCTGCGCGCACACATGCACATCAGTCCTGGCCTTAGGTCTTCTCGCCTCCACTTGTGGGAGGCGTGTGTGCGTAACCCTTGGAGTCACAGGGATTCCTTCGAACTTGTTTCTCCATTCATCAGCAAGGGGCAGAGGGATCTCCGTTGTAGCCTCTGCCACCGAAGCTAGACTGGACGATCAGGTACACGTACCTGCTGTGGTGCACTTGGGCGCATAATAAGACGCAGCTGGTGGCCACTTCGAACTCGTGGGCTCTGAAGGTTTCTTGGAGGTTTCATCGAGTTACCAACTAACCTGAACCTTTAGGCGGTCATACCTAGGTGAGCGTGTGGCATGAGGCTTTCAGATCAGTACGCATTTCTATGATTGTGTGTGTGCAGACAGGAGAAAGGAGGTGAAAAGAGACGTGTCGAGTCGAGGAGCAACGCGAAAACACGACGTGGCGAGGAGGTTTGGTTTGGGTGAGTGTCTCTTTGATGCCCTGTCGCGTGTTTATGCCTACTTAAGCAACTGAAGCTGGAAAAGGAAAAGGATGAAGCCGAAACACATAGTTATAATACATTGGATGCAGTCTCTCATTATCGGGAACACCTCCAAACTTGGAAAATTGGAGCAACCTATGGAAATTTGACGCGCCTCTAGAACCAGTGGTTGCTCAAGCCTGCCCGGCGGGGGCAAATACTGCATTTCGAGTTTGGCAAGTCTTTCGGCAACTCCAGTGGCACCCACCTGATCAACCAAAATTACCAGATGTCTGGGGTATTACATGGTACGAACTGCCATTAGTTTCATGTTTTTCTGGAACTGCACTTCCGGTGTGGATCTATCATAAAAAAAGTCATCTTCCTACACCGTATGCTTTCCACTCAGAAGAGGTTGCAATTCAGAAAGAGGAGTCTAGAAGTTTGTGGCACCAAGTGAATACTCTTCGTGCTGTGGTTTGCAATTTGGAAAATACTCTGCAAACACCGCCCGTTCCTGAATATACCAAAACTGGGGCGCCATCATTGATTCGCCTTAAATTTCATAAGAGTTTACTTGGCGGTATTGCTTCCCGGCGTGTTTTGCCATGTCCTGATCATTTGCTTCACGCTGTACAAGATGCATCGTTGCCAAACCAGTGCTATCCTCATCATGTTCGACTCGCCACACCATTTGTTGCTAAAACTGATCCGCTTGAGGCACCATATGTCGAAATTCCTTTTCAAAATAGGAGCGGACTCTACCAACGGATAAAATAAATGCATTCGTAATAGAACCTCATTGGCACACATCACAATCACGGACTGAGTGGGCCTCTTTAATTCATAATTCATTTTGTCATATTTTGTCATCCTTCTCGGATCACGATGACTTTTGTTTTGTACAAAGTCGTCAATTCAATGTGCTATTTTCGTTACTGTATGTGGATATTTGTCTACCTTCTAGCACCCCACGTACGCGGAAGGGCTTAGAGGGGCGAGCCGTCAGACAGTTCGCAAGTGAGTGTGGTGAGTGTTTCGTTTTTTCCCAAAGCTTCGGACTCGGACCTTTTGGCTATGTTTTCACACCAATGCTTGGGTTCCCGCAGTTCCACTCGGTGGGTCATCGGACGTGACTTGGACCTTTCCGATACTGTAAATAGAACGGCCGTCTGTTTTTCCCCAAATAACTTGGACCTTTCCGATGCCGAGAGCTATTACATTCTTACTTCAAGTATAAGAAGCAACATGCCGCTGCCGGATGTGTGGCCGTGTGCGCTTTGGAGCTTGTGTGCTGGTGCCGCCGCAGGGTGCCGCTGCCAGGTGTGTGGCCGTGTGCGTTTTGGGTTTGGGTGCGGTGCCGCTGCAGGGTGCCGCTGCCAGATGTCGGCGGTGTGCGGTTTGGAGCTTGCGTGCTGGTGCCGCCGCAGGGTGCCGCTGCCAAATGTGTGGCTGTGTGCATTTTGGGCATGGGTGCTGGTGCCGCTGGCTGCCCACCAAAGTCATTTTGCTATCTGGGGTCTACGCCATGCTGGCGTAATGATTGCTTTGATTAGGAGCAAAAACCAGCCTTTTCATTTGCAGCCGGGCCACTCCACTACTTGCTTGACACTAAGAGGCTGACAGTTCTTTTAGGACTCAACGTTACGTTTTTCGGCGCTCGCGGCGTTCGATGATTTCATTGGGGGCCGTGGGAGGCCGAAATTCAAGCACTGCGCCAACAACTCCGCCAGCAGAAGGTTCTGATCAAGGCAAACCAGGGGTGCTTAATTGTTCGGCGATTCTTGTGACATTCGGATGAGCCAGTGAACTTTGGGGAAGAAATGAATGTTGAACCAAAATTTGCCCCACAGGAGCAGGGTGATCGATTGCTGGAGGAGGAGGAGGCGCAGTCTCGCCGCCTACAGTTTGTGGATGCGGCCACTTTGAGCACTCAGGTTGGCTGGTGGGGTGGGGGGATTTCAAGCAGAAGGTGGACACGTCGGCTTCCCACAAAAAGGACACGTGTAGCGTGTGCTTCCCATTTCTGAAGGCTTAGTGCCATGTGGAAAGAACCTGACCTGCACTTTGCGAATGAACCAGCCATGCTACTCCTGACCACTCTCAAAGGATCCGTTTGACACACCTTGTGTGAGTCCTCCGCAACCTCAGTCCTCAACCTTCCACAGCCACAGGTGGCGGCATGGGACACGACCACCTACAACTTGGGTGGAGCCTCTCGATTTGGCCTTCGAGCCGCCGAAGTTTTCGACATGATTTGAAGTCGCATCAAGTCTTGATGGGCACTTGAAGAGTTGCTTTGGAATTGCTTGTACAGTTAAGTCGTCACGAACCCAAGATATCCTGGTCAAAGCAAGAGATCTGGGTACTAGTATCCTCCTTGTAGGCCCAAACAAAGAAAGAGATCATTACAGGTGGAAAACACTCCGAGTTCGGGCTCCGATGTTGGGTTGACCCTCCCTCTGTTGGCAGATGCAGTTTCACCTGAAAGGCCCTGAAACATTTTCGCTCAAAATCTAGAGACCAAATGAATCGTAGGTGAGCTATCCTGTAGGTAGTAGCTTACTAGTGGCTACTAGCTACCCTAGCTACCTAGCTACCGAGCTACCTAGCTAGCTAGCTAGCTACCTACCTAGCTACCTACCTACCTACCTACCTACCCACCTAGCTAGCTACCTCCGCCTACCCCTCCTGCCGGACTGGAAGAACAAGGTCTTTTTGTTTGATCAGGCCATGGACTCGTTGTGGCTTTGCCTCTGCGGCGCGCTCGTCATGTTCATGCATGCTGGCTTCGCGATGCTGGAGACGGGCTGCTGCCGGGCGAAGAACGCCTCAAACGTTCTGATGAAGAACTTGGTGCCGAGCAGCACATGTCGACCGATTTTTGCGGCCAATCTCGACCGTAGGGTCTTGCGATCGATTGTGGGCCTTGTAGGGAAGAAGTTTCTGAGATTTTGTTTTTTTTCACCGAAAACCCATGATTCGCATGGTGGTTATATATATATATATGGTGCCAATCCCTCCAACTCCCCGGTGCCATTGGGCGTCCTTTGGCGGGTCCGGAGCCGGACCGATGGAGTGTCGGGACCGACGATGTGACGAGGTGAACGTTTGCGTGGGCACCCTTGGCTGGTGGCTCTTGGGTTGGGCTTTCGTGGCCCGGATGGAAGTTTGTTTCGCGGAACAGACGGTGTGGACGGGGTGTGGCGTTTTTGGTTCTTCGATTTCGGACTCTGGGGAGTGCTTGAGTGGGGCAGTTTTTCTTTTTTTTGTTCCGAAGTGGATGACCCCTGTCCAAAAGTACGGAGGACTCCCTGATGATTCCAGATCTATTTTTGTGGGGAACCTTGGGACCGCCGACGGTCCCGAAACCACGACGGTCCCGAGACGAACCTCGCGAAACCTATCTCTGGAACTGAAGGTTGCTGAGGTCGCGTAGAATACAGGACGAACACCCCCTTCAGTCGTTCGACGCACGAAAAGCGGCAGGGGCCGTGAGGCTTACGGGAATCAGATAAGATGAAAAAAAGGTTTGAACAAAAGCAGAGGCCATCGCTAGTACTGTAGGTTGGCGGCATCGCTAGTAGGCTGGAGGCCATCGCTGGTAGGCTGGAGGCCATCGCTATTGGGTTGGAGGCCATCGCTATTAGGTTGGAGGCCAGCGCTAGTAGTAACATCAAGCTTTGTCTGGTTTTAGGTGTTTCTTTTTCTTTTTGAGGCTTACGGGAGTCAGAGTGGCACAGAGCTCTTCGGCAGTTCCGGCTTCTTTGGGGAGGGCTTCTACACGCGCGATGCCTCAGGAGCGGATGCCTCACGGTGCGGTGGTGTTTTCATACGGGTTTCTGGTCATTTTGTTTTGGTGTTCGGAACGGTCGCTTCTGTTCGTTTCACGGAAATTTGATGCCATCCCACAGATGACTTGCATACTTGTTTCCCGGAAGCGGGTGATGAGCGCGTAGACAATCGAAACTGTACGATAGAAAGGACACAACAATATGAAAGTGCGCCAAGTTTAACAAGTCGCTTCTACGATTCTACCTCCCAAAAGTAGAGGGAACCAGAAACCAGAAACCAGAAAGAAGGACGGACGGACGGACGGGCGGACAGAAAGAAAGAAAAAACGAACGAACGAACGAACGAACGAACGAACGAACGAGCGAGCGAACGAACGAACGAACGAACGAACGAACGAAAGAAAGAAAGAAAGAAAGAACACAGGAAGAAAGAAGAAAAAGGGAAGAGGAGGAGGAGAAGAAGAAGACGATTAAGACTAAGACTTTGTTGTGGGGACAAGGTAGCTTGAGAATGGCTCTGCTATTCGTCGGGGCTTGGAGAAAACTGACAGACCAACTTCATTTCAATGTGCCGTTGCACGCCCAACTCTCCTTCCCTTGGTCACCCTTTGTTCGGATGTTATTGATCCGTCATGAAAGATTGCAGAAGAGGGCTTGGCACACTTCTCTTTTGGATACGGATATGGGTAGTGGATAAAAGATATTGGCATTTCTAGATTCCTTAGACCAAGGGCCGTGGCTTTTCATCCGCCATTTCACGATGGGTGGAAGACACGTGCTCTTACGCATGGCCATGGGGGTCCCCCAGAACGTCCATAGCCCTCAGCAGGAAATATCACTCCGGTCAGCTGCGGCAGTGATGGCTGCCAGAGCACGATGTTGTCCTGGTTCTTCCAATGGGTCTCAGGCTCAGGAACACCTTTTTGTCCTCTGAAACCCACATGACAGGTCAGAAGGACGGCAGGTCAGAAGGATTGCAGGGGAAGGTGGCAAGTGACAGAGATGTCTTCCTTCTGTGTAACTCCTTTCTCAAGATTTGCTGCAAAACGACACGACGACAGACCAGTCGCTGCGGTTGCGCATTTCATAACAGAAACATGTCTATATAACAGCACTGAAGAAAAGAGGACATCCACATCCAAGTTCACTAAACCAACTGACCAGAAGATACGAGAGAAATCATTCGATGATCTGACTGCAAAGCGATTTGCCTCCTGTTTTCCAGTGTTTTCCATGGTTTGAAGGCATGATTCCTTGGTCTTAATTTGAGTCTTTCGGTTTTGAAATCGGTAGAGGCACCTTAAGCTGTAGCGCAGCTCTCTACAGCTTAGATTCAGATGTGTCCATCAGGTGAACCCAGCGTAAGGAGAATGGTAATTCATAAACTTAAAGAAATCCTTGTGCACATTTAGATTCACTTGAACCCAGTTCACTTGAACATTTGCTGTTTGGGTGGAAAAAACACCACGAAGCAAGAGGATGAGCTGTCTCATCCAGGCTGCATGCTGCTTTGGCTGCTAAGCAAGAGGATGGGACACGCCGCACTCAAGTGGGACCAAGCCCTACGAGCTTGGTCCTCTCCACCCCCTTGGTCAACACCTCTCCACCCTGCCGCAAGTGAGCTGCCTGCAGCAAGGCCTCCCTTTGCCTGGCTGAAGACAATCTTGGGATCAATCCACTCACTTATATATACGATCATACTCGATTCCAATCATGCTGAACCATGCCCTTTCACTTGGCGAAACGGTGTGGGTGGAAGCACAGTGCTATCCACATCGCAGATGGAGCTCTGTCGGCCATGCGCCAGAACAATACCGCTGTCATGCCGTGCGCCCCGTAGGTTGACAGCGAAAGTCGGGCGATGTGTCATCATTGCGGACCGAATAGTCAAATATACACTTACATATTGGAAGCATGAAGTATATCAAAGAGTAGTTTTGCTTTTTGACCCAAGGCCTTTTGCACTGCCGGAGCCACTATTGTGAGTGGGGCAGTTGCTGAGCGTGTGAAGGGCCCCACCTATGCTGCATTTGCCTTTGTGGCTTGGCTTCCGTTCCGCTGGAACCTATTGGAACCCCTGCGGCAGTGAGAGACCACTCGGCAGCTTCGCCAATCAGGTCATGACGAGCTTCATCTATCCCATGGTGGTGGCCTGGACCTGGGGTGGCGGATGGTTGGCGGTCTTTGAGGGCGTGGGCTACATGGACTTCGCAGGCACAGTTCGCTCGGGTGCGAAAAACGAGCGTTATGAAGCCCTGCTGGCAGCGGGAAACCCCGGGACACGGTGGTGGAAACTACCTCGTGAGAAGCCTGGAGGGGTGGTAGCGGTGCTTTCTTTTTCCTTCTTTTTTTTGGGTCGAGTGTTTGTCACGTGAGGATTGGTCGTTTTCATGGCGTTGTTGTCTTTTTGACTGGATTTATAGGGGTTCTCTCTGGAGTATTGGTCATGCTTTCGTTGTCGCTGGTTTTTGTTCTGACCGGCAATGCATGAAAACTGACACGCCCAAGTTGCAAAGGCGAACAGGAAACGGACCGGAGAAATAAATTCAGGCAAGCACTGGACGAGATGCACGATGCACGGCTTGGGACAAAGGAGAGATTGGAGAGAAGCAAGAGAAAGGACAAACGTTCAATTGCAACTTAACTGACAGGACCTCAACTGATAATGACTATGACAACTTGCACCAGCAACACAGGGCTTTGACATTCGCAGGTGGCACAGATCTACAAATCTAATCAAAGAGTGCCAACATTCACAGGCGCCCCATGAGATCTACTCAAAACCTTTTGGGATCAGAAGAAATGGGAGCGAGGTGAAGTGATGACGGATCTTGAGAAGTTTCTGAATTGGGGTTGCAGTGGGCCGAACCAAAGGAGATGAGATGAATGCCCACAGAGATGAATGCCCACATGCCAATGACCAATGACCGGTGAGACGTCCGGGTTTTTTGAGGGATCCCAGGGTGTGTACCCTCCCTGGAAACCAACATGGAAGTTGTCTTCCTTTCGGGGCCATTTTCTGCTTCCATGTTAGTTCCAGGGAGTGTATTTCAACAAACAGGGGGGACCATTGGCCCGTTCGGTTTAGTCTGCTTTTCCTCTTCCAGGGGCTCGAACTGGCAACTCTTGCGCCATGACCCCACCCCCTCCGTTTCTTTCGCTAGGCATCTTTCCTTTTTTCGATCGGATGACCTTGGCTCTTGTTCTTTTTTAACTATTTTCGAACACCGCTTCTGTTCCAGCTAGTTCTGAACCGCCAGGCAGTGGCGTGGTGCATTTGACGGGAGGCGCCGCAGGCTTGGCCGGGACCATCGTCTTGGGGCCCCGCAAGGGACGCTTCGTGAACCCCGAGGAGCGGGGACCTCGGGACTTCAAGGCCTAGGGACGCGCCCAGTGTTTTCGCAGCGAAGCGAGTGGGTTCCGGTCGAGATCGTGCGAGTGTCGGGCATATTGGCATCAATTGGCATCATATGGAGGCCATTGCTATAGGAAACTGAGCTGGTAAAGAGACGTCCGAAAGGCGATCAACCACATGCCTTTTCCTTGAGCCAAAGTTCAAATCGCCATGGTTTATGGCCGTGGATGCTATGCTCTCAAGTGAAGCTCAAAAGGTGTCATCTGCTGGATCACACTCCCCCCTGGCTGACTTTCAGCCAAATCAAATCTATTTTCAAAAGCTGTCGAACCTTTCAGCCGTCGAAAAACTCAAAGCCACCATCTGACTCCTCTGAGTCAGGGTCTCCAGCTGGCTGTCGCCGGACAGGGCCTTGGGTCATGATGCCCATCCAGTGAGGTCGCTCTTCATCACCCACAGGATCTGCGGCCTGGCGGCCCCCTGCAGGGCTTGAAGTCAATCCATCAGCCTGAAGAGAGGTTTTTTAGTTTTTCTCGTTCGGCATCTCCCGGTGCCGCCATTGTGGCTATGCGAACCTTGAGCCCAATACACTGAAGGCTCAAAGCCCAAGCCATCACCATCGCTCCTCAGCAGCTCGTCTCGCCGATCGAAGCTGGCCAGCCGTCCAGCATATCCCAGCGTCAGCGGACTCTCAACTGCTCCTTGCCCCGAGCCAGGGCAGTTGAGCGTGAACTTGATGAGCTGGTAGTGTCTCCAGTGCCTCGCCTGGGTGTCCCGATCAATGCCGCTGGACTAGATGAGCTCCCCTGCGAAGTCAATGTCTCCTGGGTGGCACCACTGCCAGGTGCCTCCAGCTCCTTGAAGGGTAACGAACGGCTGCTGCCTGCTGTCCCATTGGATTGGCGAGCAGATGCCACCTCGGTCATACTTGGGCTCGAAGTCCACGTTGCCAGCAACATAGGCCAAAAGATGCCGTCCCCAAACAAGCACCTTCCCTGCACAGCGGGTCACTAGCCTGCCCATGAGGGCAACCGGGTATGCAAGTCAACCCAAGTTCGGCACGAGAGCTAATGGCTGGGTTAAGCTCTGGTTCCTCCTCCACATTCAGCGGAAGTATGGCGGGCGATGCCTGACTTAGCACCACCACATCCTTCCTTCGGCCAATCTCAAACTTCTCCTTGCCCTCTTCAGTGACCCACTCCGGTTGTGAGCATGTCCACCTGGTCCTGACCGTGGTCCGATCCTGCAAGGGACAGTGTGTCTCCAATGACCACCCAGCAGTCCCACCGACCAAACCTGGCTAGTGCCGATGAGCAGGGCATCCTAAGCTATGGTCAGATGATCTCTTTTCAATCATCTTTTTGAGAGTTCTTTTCGACTGGAGGTCATCAGAGAGTCAGCCAGAGCATCAGGAGCTGCAATCATTGACCGAGACGATTCTCCACAGATTCTGCTCAGGTGTCCGGAGAAGCATGTAGTTGACCCCCCCCACACGTCCATCTCAGCTTGGCCAGCTCCGCGTTGCGATGTAGCCCAGGCTGCACAGACATCATTGAGGCCGTAGATACCATGCAGCAGCAGAACGCCTCATCAACGCCCTGAGCATAGTCCCGTCGGCGCCGCCAGCATACAATGCAAATATTGCAAATGCTGATGGAATCTTCCCCTCCTCATGGACCTTGGTGAGATGATTTCCGCAGATGCAGATTCTCGCTCGAAGCCTGCCCAATGGGCTCTTCACAGTGGGCACCAAGAGGGCTGGCGCCATCTCCAGAGTGGGCAGCGCTCGTCCAGCTTGAGAAGTCTCCACCGACTCACGTTGAACATCTCCCAAGGCAGCCAATCGAAAGCGCTCGACCAGGAGTTGGCTCTCCATCAACTGCATCTCCAAGGCGCTCACTCCACATCCTTTTCAGCTCCGCATGGCAGCAGACCTCCTCCTCATGGATGCCTCTGCATCAAGGCTAGAGAGCCCAGTCCAACACAGACCTGCTGAAGTTGGAGCAGTGCAATGCAGCGCCTACACCATACATACATCCATGGAGATGTGAAAGATGGAAGCCAGCTCTGAGAGGCAAACGCCAAGCTGTACCAGGCAGGAGTTGGCGTTGCTTTACGATGCGCGTGAGCTCACCAAGGAAAGAAGGAGCCACATGATGGCAGCGTATCCAAACTTCATTGACTGGCTCGATACCTACAAGGTACAAAGCGTACAGTATGTGACACTTTGACTGGCAGCGCGCTCAGTGTGCACAAGCTGGGCGAACTGCCTGCGTTGGGGTGCCTGCTCTACACCCACGCGAGAAGCCTGCAGATGCTTCCTGTTATGTGGTGAAGCAGAATGCAATGGAGGAGCGGCTAGTTGAGCAAGAAGTCTGTGATTGCAGCGCCCATTCTGATGCTGCACAGGAGGCATAGGCAGCAAGAGATGGGTCTGAGCCAATGAGAATGGCAGCTTCAGCCCATGGATCTTTGGCAGCCATGCTGATGATGGTTGTCTGGCAAGATCAATGGCGGCTTGGACGTGAAGATTGGCAAGAAAATGGAACGGCTGAAAAGGCCATTCAGGCAGAACAGTTCACCAGGATTTCTACTTCGAAGGGCATGAGGTGTTTGTTCCATTGTGACACCTCCTGTTCAAAGCTTGGACAGCGGCCACGGCCCTATTAAATTCTGCGGCCTTGCAAGTCATGCAGTTTGCACAGAAGCTTGTGATGCTTCACCTACCCCGTGATGTATATAAAGCATCAAAGGGGTGCACACTTGATTACCTACATGCCACATGTTCATGCATACTGTAGCCATGTTTGGGCTTAGGAAACGGACCGCATTTTCTTGCAGACCTATTTCTCCATACTGTGTACGCGGTTTTTATCCCCTGTGAAACGTTGGCGGGGTGTTGGGAGACCTGAAGATTAAGCATGAGGCGAGTGAGTTGTGGGTTCAACCCATCGCATGGTGTGTATTTTGCGGTGTGAACAATTGAGACGCACATGCCCCAAGCCTTGCAGAGGAGTTTGACTGCCACAATCTTCCGTTGGTGGTGCTGGGAACTTTCGCGCTTTGGTTCGGCTGGTATGGCTTCAACCCAGGGTCCACCCTCACGATGAAGAGCGCAAGCGATGGTGCTTTGGCAGCACAGGTGGCGATGAACACGACTCTTGCTGCTGCCACAGGTGGAATCACCGTGTTTGTCCTTCGCTATTTCATCACGAAGAAGTACGATGTCGGTGGCTTGTGCAATGGTATCCTTGCAGGCTTGGTCTCCATCACAGCAGGCTGTGGAAGCATGGAATGTGGTTCCGCCTTCGCTACTGGATTGGTGGGAGGCATTGTCTACCAGCTTGCCTCCATGCTTCTCCAGAAACTGAAGATTGATGACCCTGTGGATGCCAGCCCTGTTCACGGCTTCTGTGGCATTTGGGGATGCCTGGCAGTGGCTTTCTTCGATTGGGGCAAGGGTTTTGATCATTACCATGCCTGGAGTGGATGGGGCTGCATGACGGATGCGAATGGTTGCAAGACCGGCATCAATGGTATTGGGCTTGGAGCGAACTGCATCATGGTCCTTGTTGTGCCTTGGTCGAGATGTCGGTCAGTTGCTGAAACGGACCTATTTTTTTCCTGCCTCGCATGTCCATTCTTTTTTCGAACCGAACCCTTTTCAGCCCCCATCCTCGGACCCCACGGGACATCCAACTCTCGCTCAGATCATTGCCTGGTCGGGCACCATCGCGGCGATCACCTTTGCGGTCTTGAAGTGGTGGGGAGCTCTTCGTGTCGACGAAGAGACGGAAGACATGGGCATGGACGCCAAGTCTCACTCCCCACCTAAGGCATATGCTTTGCCGACGGCTGCCTAAGTCGTTCTTCACCCCGGGAGCCGGTCTGAAGACTGCAAGTCCAGGTCATCTTGGTAGGTAGGGGCAAAACTTGGCCAGTTCACTTGACATGTCCTTGTTTGTTCTCGGTCCACAGCCATCCATTGTGGCCACAGCCATCCGTTGGGGTCTTCATTTTTCGCCTTTAGCCCTTGTGGAGTGGAGCTTCCTAGGACAACGTCCGGCACGGGCGTAAGCGCCCTGGGCAGAGGCTTCGAGTCAAACCCCAGGAAGATGAACCTATAACTTTATTTCTCTGTTCTGTTTGGGCCACCATTGCCACCCTCAAGCGACCCAAAGGATTTCTACCTGACAATTTGTGAATGCTCAGGGAGGCTTTTTTTGAGCACAACCGACGTTGATTCCGAGATTCCCTGGTCATCAAAGAAAGGTCAGGAAAGCTTGGATTTCAATTCATAGCACTGCACCTTGAAGAGAGACTGGACTGGACAGTTCATCGACGAATGAACGCAGAAAAGGGATGCTTGCAAGTCAAGAAGACACATGCTGAAGGAAACAAAACAAGTCTGGGGACCAAAGATCACGATCAATCTCCTTTGGCCTGTGCTTTCTTTGTCAACTCCAAATTGAGCCTTGTGTCCTCAGTCTGCAGCTCGGACTTTTTACCGATCGTCCAATCCAAAGTGCCGAGTGCGAACATGATGAAGCGCCGCTTGGACTGCGAAACAAAAACGACCAAAACAGCGACCGGGACGTCGCACGACGTCGTGAGTTCCAGCCACGAGTTTTTTGGGAAGGAGGAAGGGAGTAACAGACAGTGCAACTGCTTATGACCCCTTCTCTGTGTCGAGTCATTTTGAGCTATCCATAGCCGTCTTGATGCAAACTTGTGGTCGTCTTTCATGAGGCCTGGCCTCATCTAGAGCTGCTGCCCCACACCAGAGAAAAAAACAACAAAACCATTCCAGCAACTCACTGGCTGTTCTCCATGCATTCTGGCTGGGTGTATGAAATGGACCTTGGAAGCTTGTTCGTCGCTTTTACGACTGACGAACGCACCATGTTCTTGAGACGAATTCCTGCACCGTTGGACCCCAAAGAAGAACTTCGCTTCTCGCGCCGAGCTACACCGGTTTCGGCCTCCAAGCTCCGAAGCTCGGGCGGTTTCAGCCCGTCTCCAGGCATCGCAGCTCTATTCTTGGCGGATGCTCAGCTCAAGGGGCACGCGCGCTGGGCGGGGGTTTTAGAGCGATGGGGTGATGTGAGCTTGGCAGCCTGACCTGTTTGGAGAGAGTCTGACTGGGTCTGTAAGAAAGAAGTCGGAAAGAAAGGTGAGGTTTCCTGTATGCCCTGAAAGACTGTCCTTGTCGATACGATACTTGAAAGGGCTGTGAGCGGCAAAGGCAAGTCCGGGTTGCAAAGGCAAAACACTGAAACTTGCTTTACTTCAAGCTTTTACCCACCCAACCAGGTTGTTTGTCCCATTATGAACGTCTATGTGGGGGTTAAAGAACCTAGTCGGGTGAAGCATAGCTTTTAGGTTTTGATCACGCAGTGGCGTGGTTTGGTTGGGTGTTGTCATTATGCGCGTCATTGTTTGATATGTTCTGCCGTGTTTGGCCTGGCGTGTTTGGCCTGGCGTGTCATGTTTGTGATGTGACCGGTGGTGTCCGCCTAACCTTGGGATGTTTGGTGTTGTGTGTAACCCTTAGAATCATAGGGAGCCTTTTGGCTTGGCAAAGAACAAGCTGCCGGCCTTCGCAACTGTTCCGAGATCTGCAGATCTTTCAGTGTTTGTTGATCTGAGCTCTTGAACCTCAAGAGTACGATAGTCATAGTCCTTCTCTGAGGATCTTTGAGGATGTTTGGACCACCTTGAATACTCACTACCTGTTTTATCGATTTTGCTCAGGCCCTTTTTCACTTTGGCATTTGGGTGGTGGCGAAACCAACTTGTATGTTATTTTGCGTGCGTGCGGGCGTGCTGGCGGGCGTGGGTGGGTGGGAGTGTGTGTGTGTGGTCGCTTCTTTTCGATGATGCCAGCACTTTTTGTGATGCCTTGCAGAAGGGCGCACCATTCCCTTGTCAAACATCTCGTCGCCCAGTTCCCCAATCCTGTGAGAAGAAAAAACGGCCATTGGAAGACACCGTATCAGGTCGCAGCCGCGGAGACCTTTGAGGCCCGGCACGGACCCGTAACAGCGACGGGTCACCGGTGGTGGAACAGGTTGTTTTCATCGATTTTCCTTTCGTTGGTATATATCAGTGCTGAGCTAGATTCTAGATCAGCTTGATTATTGTAGACCCTTAAAACAACATCCGGATTGGTTAGGCCCAGGCTAGAGCAAGCTTTGCAGGGTATGTTGTCAGATCTTTCTCCAATGCCGCCGATAAATGTATGATGTACAGGAATGGAACTGAAATTCAGGTTCACTGTTGTGATACATGGCGCTGTATTGCGTATTGCAGCCTGCATGGCCTGCCTTGTTCACCTCCGTACAAAGTTTGTGTACTGCTTTGCAAAGAGTGGTCGATTTCTCGATGGCAAGGCCTCCACATGTTTTTGCAGTATTTTGCTCACATGTCTTGCGCATTTCACCTCCCTCCTTGAGCGAGGCCGAGCTCCAAGCACTACGAGTGGAAGTGGAGGAGCAGCAGGCCTTGATCAAGGACGAGCGGCCGATCGACTGGCAAATGTTATACACTCCCGAAAACTAACATGGAAGTCGAAAACATCCTGTTTGTAGAGGAAAATGGCCTTGCAAGAGGCCATTGTCCATGTTAGTTCCAGGGAGTGTATAATGTTGGGTTCGAGGTGATCACACGGCCGCAAGGTGATTTTTCCTTCATCATACCCACGGAATGGATACGTTTTATGCAGAGTGTTCTACTCGTGGATCGAAATGCCATTATGCGCCTACAGCTTGAGCTAGAGATGCCAGTCCAAAAATCAGCGAGGGGTTGCTGTTTCCGTGCCATGAAGTTGATGCGTTTTGAGGTAGGGAATAGTTTGACGAGTGTCTGGTTTGTAGAGGATCAGCAACTGCGCTTTGACCACCTGGAGTCCCTCAACTCC